CACCCGCTTGGCTACGAAGGCCATTTAAGCTTAAGGTTTGTAATGCTTTTGTAGTGATAAGGGAATCTTGTTGTGGCACTCCACAACACTCTCCCCTCGTTAAAAGGAAGAAGCTTAATGCTCAACCGAGCGAACGTAAGTCCTCGTCGCAGACGGTCACCGCGAAGACTATGAGTGTGGCGGTAACCTTTCTCAAGGAACCGCAGCGCACTCGTCATTCGCAAGGCAGTGTCAATAGAGGAGGACTCACGTCCGCATAGGGAGCTAAAGCTGAATGTCCGGTTCGGAACTTATAGTCCGGGTCGGACGGAAGTAAAGGAGGAGTAATCTCAACTCCTGACAAGGATTGTTTTTTCCTTGTGAAGGGCGGTGGATTTCAACCCAATCGCTACCAAGTGTTGTAGAGCGGGAATAAAAGAGGCTAGCATTTCACCCGCTTGGCTACGAAGGCCATTTAAGCTTAAGGTTTGTAATGCTTTTGTAGTGATAAGGGAATCTTGTTGTGGCACTCCACATCTATCTTGCACTGACTTTCTCCTGCTTTGTCTTCCTCTTCTTGACTCCTGATCGTTACACCCTTCTTGCATGCTCCCTCTGACCTATCTGGTCTCACCTGCTCCGCTGCCACCTGTCACTTCTACCTTCTACCTCTCTATCTCATCTTGCCTTGCAAGTTCACCTACCAATACACCAGCATCCCATATCGAGATCGATCGTACACACACACACCCAGCTACACACTACACACACTCCTCGTACTACACCACAACATTGCAGATACAGCAAAAGCGGCAGACTCCCTTGGGATCCTCCTGATGCTGCTCCACAATGTGCTCAACGGAGGAGCCCCTACAGGTGTGATTATTGACAGGCAAGTCCTGTCTGCTGAGTCATCATTGACCTCCCTTCTTCACGACACCACAAATTTGCATTCACCTCTCTTGTGTTCTGGAATGTTCACGTGATTTTCCTCCAACCTGTTGCACGTGCAGTGTTTACCTTGTGTGGTTGCTCGATGTTACATGCTCTTGCATAACACACCACATAACCACACAACTCTCAACAAGCAGTGCCACGTCACCACTTTGCGTTGTCGACAATTCTTGTCTTCTGCTCTGTTTCTTTCTGTTGGAGTGTTCATTCATCCTACATCCTTGTTTGCTTCACAACTCAAGTAAACATGTTGAGAGTCAGTGAGTTTCTGTTTTGTGTTGAGTCCTTCCTAATTTGCCTTGTCGTGTGGTTTTGTCTTGTTTGCCAACAACACCTGCTTTGTGGTTTTTCCGTTGGCAAACATTCCTTCCTCTCTGCTGGCATGCGTGCCAACTGCCTCTCCTCTCCTCCTTTCCCTACACACGTGAGTTGTGTGCCATGTGTGTGTGCATGCCCGCCATGCTTGGCAAATGCCATGCCTGCGTGCCATGCAGTGTTGTGCAGTGTTATTGTTGACAGGCAAGTCCTGTCTGCTGAGTCATCATTGACCTCCCTTCTTCACGACACCACAACTTTGCACTCACCTCTCTTGTGTTCTGGAATGTTCACGTGATTTCCCTCCAACCTGTTGCACGTGCAGTGTTTACCTTGTGTGGTTGCTCGATGTTACTGTTGCAAGTTCATGGTGGTGGTGCTGTTGTTGGAGACTTGTGTGTGTGTGTGTGCTGTTGTTGACAGGCAAGTCCTGTCTGCTGAGTCATCATTGACCTCCCTTCTTCACGACACACAAATTCACATTCACTCTCTGTGTTCTGGGAATGTTCACGTGATTTCCC